CCGAGGGGAAACATCCATGCACAGCATCTCGAGAGCACTTTCCAACTCCGTCGATACATCTCCATGGCCAGTAGTCCCATTAACACACGCCAAGTTTCAAGTCACAACATAATGTCACAACCATAATGTCACAACATAATGTCACAACCATAATGTCACAACCATAATGTCACAACCCGACGTCCATATGACCCCTATTAGTCCTACACCGAAGCTAGCGCGACCAGTAGCTAGAGTTCTATTCGATTTAACTGAAAGGAAAGATCGTAACGTGCGACGCAAGATAATTGGAGTCTCCTAATTGACTCCTAATTGGAGTCAAGAGAAGCCGAGCTACGGTCAACATTTCAACACCTGGCAGAATAACACCAGCAGCTAAGCATTTGGAAGAGCACATCGCTCAAAGCTGCATGCCATTCCTAGATGGATGCATATGGACTATCAAAGCAGAGTTTCAGAGTCTATTGGCAGGGCATGTTGACAGATGCCAGCAGAATAGCGGCGACATGAAGCACCGCATCAACGACCTGAGAAATCTAGTTGAAGAGCAGGCAGCAGTTGTGTAGCAGCTGACCGCTGAAAAGTTCTCTCGAGTTGCTGGTGGTCGCGCGCTGCGCGTATTTATAGCACCGTACTGTGTACCGGCTGCTACATCCCCCCCCTTTTGAAGGGGTCCGTCCCGGGCCCTTAGAGCCTCGTTTTTTACGACCAGCCTGCAGGCTGGTCGTACAGCTGTGCGTACCTTCGCCTACCCTCGGGCAGTGGGTAACTACTCCACGTCACGTCATGTACGGGCTAACATGCGCCTAGCCGTCTTCAAATTTTTCAGGCACAGAGACAGTCCAGTCGGTTCAGCTACTTTTATATTATATGCGTTTATCGCTAACTGAGTCGCCAAACCCGATTCCACTCGAGCATGATCGGTAGAGGTTGAACCGACGACTTCAGGATCGTGAAATGTCACGGGGTCTCGATACCAAATGTAGCAGCTGACCGCTGAAAAGGTCTCTCGAGTTGCTAGTGGTCGCGCTCTGCGCGTATTTATAGCACCGTACTGTGTACCGGCTGCTACAAGTTGTTACAAGCCCTCAGGAGCGGAATGCTGTGCTGCGACAGGAGCTTGGCGCCACGGTAGGTGAGCGCAGGCTCACGGCGCAACGCTTAAAGGAGTTAAATGAGCGCATTGAAGCCCTCGAGACCGAGCGAAGCTCGTCGCGAGGTGAGCCAATCATTACGTGAAGCCATTTGGCGGACGCAAAGGCCCTTGATAGGCGGATGGAGGCCCTGTAAAAGCGGCTGGCCGAGCACACCGCAAGCGGGCCAAGGGAACAAGCGGTGCGCTGCAGAGAAATGGCCGAGAATGTGGACAACGTTACTGCTAGTGTCGCCACGCTTGAGGAGCGTTTCAATGACTGGGAGCGCACATGCACAGCCCCGGCAAATGGTGCTGTAGCAAGCTACATTTACCTTAGAATATCTTTAAGCTATTAAAGCTTAATCACAGTAACGGTACGGTCCCGTAGTTACGAACCATACTCGTTAACTGTACGAACTCACTTTCTGTTACGCTACCACAACCTAGCGTACGACACCAAGACTCCAGGAATGGAGATGGCGGCAGGTGGGCCGCATTTAAGCCACCCAGGTGAAGTGCTTCGGCCAGACACTTATCGTATCACTATACCAGTGTTCGGATGTTCAAGACTCCACTGTCACCGTTCCCGATGTATGTCTTCGATCCCGACTTCCCTTGTCTCTTTTCGCGCTTAACGCTGGGTCGTCAACCGTGGACGAGACCCACCGCTTCCACTCAAACAGCTAAGGTAAGAGACGGCTGTTACAGGTGCACGATGTGTCGGAGCCACAGGGGGGCGTCGCATTGGCCTCAAAGCAGTGCCACCTGCAAAGCAAGACCAACAAGATCCCCGGAAAAAACTTGAAAAGGAGCAGCAAGAACTGCTGAAGCAGCAGCAGCCAAAACAGCAACCAAGACCTAACAGAGCCATCGCTGATACCACCACCTCTGTAGTAGCTGGCCGCTGAAAAGGGCTCTCGAGATGCTGGTTGTCGTGCTACACACATATTTGTAGAGCCGTACTGTGTACCAGCTACTACATTCCCCCCCTCTGAAGGGATCCGTCTCGGGCCCTTTTGGCCTCATATATATATATATATATATATATATATATATATATATATATATATATATATATACCGCCAGCCTGTGCCTACCTTCTCCTACCCTCGGGCAGTGGGTGACCAGTCCACGTCACGTCATGTGCCTCCTTCACATGCGCCTAGCCGTCTTCAGATTTTTCAGGCATAGAGACAGTCCAGTCGGTTCAGCTAGATTGTTATTTTTTGCGAGAATCGCTCACTGAGTCACCAAACCCGTTATTCCACCAAGCGTGATTGGTTGGGGTTGAACCGTCGATGCGTATTTGTAGAGCCGTACTGTGTACCAGCTACTACAACCTCCAAAGCCCCAAAGCTGCCGGCGATCACTACCAGGCCACATGAGGTGGCCGCAAGCCGCAGAGGGTTTGACATGACAGCAGGCGCCCCTGCTCCCAGACCCCCCCAAGCACTGGCCGAGACTACCAGCAGCACCGATGGACATATAGACGGGGGTGCACTGGTCATCGACGGACTACCAGCTACCTGGACGCATGAGGAAGTGATCCAGAAACTGCAACTGTGCTTGCAGCAGCTTACAAGCATGCGGGTCGTGTTCTTAGATTGCACCGTTGAGGCACACCCGAATGTTGCTGCATGCAGCAGCAAGCGGACAACCCAGCGGGTTCGAATCACGACAACCCCAGCGGCATATTATGCCTTGTACACATTACGGAAGCAGCTGGGCCTGAATGTGGAGGAAGGAGCGGATGTGTCGTTCCCGGCTGTGCGGGTGACACTGGCACTCACAGCACTTGGTGAATCGTACAAAAAAGGGTACCAGGACGTTTTTCGGCACCTAGTTGATAGTAAGAGGGCCCCTTCATGGCGGCCGTAAAAATAGAGATAATGGGCTCAATTGTTAGGGTTTAGGGTTTTAGGGCCGCCGGTTGGCACAAATGTGTCTTGACACAGGGCTAGCCATTGTCAATGGGCAGGCACCTGGTGATGTGCCCGGGGGCTTCACGTACTCCAACTCAACTGAGGTTCACAGTTCTATTGATCTGTGCCTTGCATCTTACGGGCTCTTCGAGCAGATTAACACTCTCAAAGTCCTTAGATCTTACTTATGGGGTGAGTCTAATGTGCTGAGTGATCATCACCCGCTTATCCTTCGCCTGCATGCCGATTTGAGGCCAGGGGCTGCACGGGGTCAGAAGCCTCACCTAGCACGTGAACGGATCCCTATTTTTGATATTTCACGCAAGGGCCGCTTCAGTGAGCTTTTTCGTGAACCAGATGGCATTATTACAGCGACCATCAACTCTCTCAAGGAAAAGCTTGTGGAAGGGGCACCTTGTGGTGAAAGCATGAATGACTTGTGCACCCTTATCGACACGTGTGCTAGAGAGACGTTCGGCGTTGCACGGGGGATGGAAAAGTCTGTGAAGCGTGACTGGTGGAACGAGGATTGTGCAGCTGCGTGGAATGATATGATGAGGTTCCGTAAGGAGGTCAGGGACCCCGTCTCAGGCAAGCTGCCCGATCTACATAGGAATACCTGGAAGGCCAAGCACCGTGCCTTTAAGAAGGTTAGGAAGGCCGCTATTCAGGAGATTGAAATGGAAGATATGCGGAGGAGGATTAAGGACGCCCGGTCCAACCCACGCGGCTTGTGGACATGGCTGCGTGGGGGAAAACCACCTCCTTGCGGGATCTCAGATATTAATGCTTTTACCGAGCGTTTTTGGTCGGGAGAGACGAGGCAATGCCGCAATGAGGGTATTCAGTTTAAATGGCTGGACGCAGACCAGGTGACGCACCGACGGGAATTAGCTGCTTGGCTTAACAAGGATTTTACGGAGGATGAAATTGCTAGAAGGGCAGGAGCCGTGTTTGTGTTGGCGCCTTACTCAACGGTGCTATACAACCACATATACGGAGCTGAATACCCGCGAGGATTCATGACTAGCACCCTGTCCCCCGTATTTAAAAAAGGGGACGTGTCATGCTGTGACAATTACCGGGGAATAGCAGTTGGGGGTCCCCTGTGCAAACTTTACGCCAATATCATAGGGAGGCGACTCACCAATTACTGTGAGGGCAATAGGCTACGTGCCGCTAGCCAGGCTGGATGTAGGCATGGTTTCGGCACCATCACTTGTTTACATTAAGGCATCTTATCTCGAAGCACACTGTGGCCGGAGCCAGGCCGCTTCGTCTGTATTTTTTCGGGCATTGTATAGGCGGCATATTCGAGAAATTAGGTGAAAGGTATATAGGCCATTTAGCTCGATACGTATTCTACGAAACTTAAAGGCTTGGGCATAAGAGGCGCATGTGTAAGTGATGGCCTAATATACGATCATGTATGGCATAGTATTATAAGTACATTTTTACATCATAACCTGTAGCAAGGGATGTTTAGGCTATGCGGTATACAGGTCACGTACCGTAGTGCTAGTTATGGTTCGTGATCGCTTTGTTCGGGGAGGGGTCAAACAAGTCGGCTTCCTCGAAGCCGGAAAAAGGGCGGGCCCCCCCTGCATCCGTACAGGCCGGTAGCTAGCGCGGCACGTGTGACAATTGATGGGTAGTGTCAACGCGGTGGGAGATGTGCTTTGTTGCAGCAGTGCTGATGGTGTGAGAGCTAAGCTTGTACCGGCGGAATCGTCAGCACCGCCTGCGGGCTTCACGCGAATCGCATCCATCCCGGGTGCATGCCGCATGGACAGTGCGGCAGACCGCAAGTCGGAATGCCCGTGCAGGCAAAAGGTAACGAAAGCTGGGTGAATTTCGGTGCTGTCTGTGATGTTTATCCCCGAAGCGCCAGCGGCCTCAGCAATCCGCCCCACAGCCGCGGGCTTCATCGGGGCACACCGCAACTCTTCGGAGGCCCCGTGCATTGGCCAAAGTAAATGTACAAACAAGCAGCTTGTGTATTTCATAGAGAAATGAAAGCAAATTACGTTGGCCTGCTGGTGGCAACTCGGATTGCCCATGCCGGCAAATGGTAACACAAGCTGGGTGTTCGAGTTATCATACGCCGTCATCTCAGATTTCCATTATGAGATACACGGCAGCTTTCGGGATGAAATTTAACGCGAGAGGCGTTGATGTGACTTTTGAGGTCGGTGAATGGAGGCAGCTAAACTTGTTTGTGCTCATACGGTCTTTGTTAGCTACATGCGAGATACCTTGCAATAGAGAATGCTCTATAGTACCGATAACGCGTTTCAGCCGGGTGAAATATTATGTTTGGTTCGTTACACACTCAAGGCCTGGGAGTTCGAGTTATCATACGCCGTCATCTAAGAATCCAAATATGAGATACGCGGTACCTTTCGGGATGAAATTTAGCGCGAGAGGCATTGATGTGACTTTGGCCTCGGTCAATTGAAGCAGCCAAACTTGTTTGTGCTCATACGATTTTTGTTGGCTACATGCGAGATACCTTGCAATAGAGAATGCTGTATAGTACCTATAACGCGTTTCAGCCGGGCGAGATATTATGTTTGGTCCGTTACACACACACGAACACACACACACACACACACACACACACACACACACACACACACACACACACACACACACACACACACACACACACGCACACGCACACGCACACGCACACGCACACGCACACGCACACGCACACGCACACGCACACCCACACGCACACGCACACACGCACACGCACACGCACACACGCACACGCACACGCGCACACACGCACACGCACACGCACACGCACACGCACACGCACACGCACGCACACACACACACACACACACACACACACACACACACACACACACACACACACACACGGACATGGGCAATCCTACAGGTCGGGGCCCCCCTGGGCGCTTCGCGCTGGGGCCCCGCCCAAAAACTTTCTGAAATTTGTACGTGCGAAATTCAAAAATTTCGGGGAAGGCCGGACCAGATTTTTCGGGCATGATACAAATTTCGGGGCCCCTTCCAAAGTTTCGGGGCTTTTCAAACTGCAGCTTCCAGTCAGTCTCCCTCCACCGGGAACCCTTAGGCTCATGGTCTCTCACCATTTTCGCACTTTGGAAACGCCCTAGCAAATTCTGGACCGATCGTACAGTTCCGTACCAGTGGCAACGACCTAATAACCAACCGGCCGGGCCAATACAGTGTTTGGGTGGTTGCTACTGAAACGTGTCTTCATGTGGCTGAAACCCCGACGTAAAAGGCATTACGACGCAGCTGGATGCACCAAACAGGAACCTCCTCGTGCTCCATTCGCTCACGCTGGGCCTCGACAACAGCATCATCAAGCCTAACTGGTGCAAATCCAGCTCGGTCGCTCACCGGAGCGTTTGGTGCTAGCGGTTTCATCCCGCATTGAAGCAGGGTTGCCTGTCTTGCACGTTTTCCAGCGTTGTTCATGTCCTACGTTTATGACTATATTTTATGTATTTAAGAGCTGATTTCCGCCTTGAAATCCTAGTTTTTTGCGAAGTTTGATCGACCGGCTTCGGAGGGTATGATATTTCGGGGCTGCGGTCCCTTGGGATACCTTAGAATTTGTAGGTGCTACATATTCGTAGTGCCTCCCGAATTATTGTAGCACGAACTATAAGTAGCACGGTTTGTATACACTTGATGTTGTAAACAGACATTGCCTATATAGACGCAAGTATACATGATTCCCTATAATAGGACCTGTACAGGCATCACATAATAGGCTTTTCATTCGAGTCACTCTTTAGATACCCTAGTCATCTCTCCAATCGATCGCGCGACATCCGGATAGGCTCGTTCGCACAGGGGAGACGCTCTCACTAAGGCACCGAGGCCAAGCGGGTTTCAGAAGAGGTTTCGGTACTACACATCATCTCTTTGCCAAGCAGTACCTTACTGCTAGGCACAGCCAACCGGGACAGCGGCCGTTGGTCATTGTGCAAATTGACTTTGACAAGGTGCCGCGGGAGATAATGTGGCTTCGCGAACGATTGTTTGCAAGGGAGAGGGGTTCGAGGGTCCATGCTGTGGTCGCTGATGCGGGCGTATGATAAGGTTACAATGGTCATCAAGACGAATGGCAAGGCTGGAGGTGAATTTGAGTCAAAACAGGGTGTGAAACAAGGCTGTCCATTATCAACTGAGCTGTTTGGGCTCTACATTGAAACTCTCGCGGACGTCATCGATATGCACGACGGTATTAACACCGGGGCACGGCCAGAGGATGCACCGGAGGTTGGAAATGAGCGAGTGTCCATCCTCCTCTATGCCGACGACGTTAGCCTTCTGGCAACAACACCGGGACGCATGGGGGAGCTGCTCAACATTGTGGACATGTTCTGTGATGATTTTGGGATGACGCCCAAATGTGTCGAAATGTGAACGCCTCGTTTTTGCAAGCGACAGCGATACTAGAAGTGCTGTCCAAGCAACGTGTGATGAGCTCAGGCTGGCTGGAGAGGCCATACCGGCTAAGGATAGTGCACGATATCTGGGGTTAGTGTATGGGCCGGAACGGCAGTTCTGGGCCTGCCGTCAGCAGTTGTATGACACAGCTAGAGCAGCTATGTTCACGTTGAGTGCAAAATTAGATAAGCTAAAGTTGTTCGCCCCAAATGTGAGGATGAGGTGTTTCGATACGCAGGTACGAGCAATACTGTTGTATGGTTGTCAAGCGTGGGGGCTGTTTATGCTAGCTGAGGTCTCGGACAGGCTCAGGAAGCGGAGTGATGCGAATAACCTTGCAGAGGGGCCCTTCGAGGCATGCCTAAAGGACAGAGCAGTGCAGCTTCAGATATCTTTCATGCGGCAAATTGTAGGAGCTGCCAGACCAACACACCGCCTCCTGTTCGCCGAGCTATCGCAGCTACCCCTACACTACCACGTTCTCAAGCAGGTTGTGAGGTTTTGGAACCATGTCCGTTTACAGCGTGGGTCTGTGGCACACCAAGTTTTGCGACAGGAGGTCGCAGAATCCCTCTCCAACCCCGAAGGGGCCGGATGGGGGACACTACTCCTCCGTTTTCTATGTTTTTTGGGGCACGACGTATGGAAAGATGCCCCGCAAGGGCTACATGAGGTAGACGAACGAGTGGAGTGGCTGATGAACAGGCCAATGCCAGAAGGTGTGATTTTGGAGTTCAAGGACCGATTAGGGAGTGGTTGGAAGCATACGCGCTTAGATGTCCAGCCTGACGTGTATCCATCAGACAGCAAGCAACCAGGAATCCACATGGCGAAGTATAAGCATTGGATGGGTCTGGCGGCCGAGCAAGCGGGCAGGAAGGAGGTGCTCCCGCATATCACAATGTTAATCCCGCGTTCAGCGAATCGCAAAGCTTATGCAGTTTAGGCTTTGCTGTTGGGCATTGGCGGCTAACAGTATGGGCTTTCCACGCTTCGAACATATGAAGGACGCTATGAAGTGGGAACCTGAACGCCTGGCAAGGATGCTGGAACGCATATGGTCCCACCGCAACTCTATCGTTCCCTTTGGTCGTTAGTATACTTCATCACTTGTTTCGTTGGAAGTGCGAGGTAGGATGGTGCTTATAGGCGATTTGGCAGCCCTTGAGCCCTCGGCTCGTACTAGGGTGGTTTGCAGGTACGGGGAACGCACCCACGACCATGTAACAACAACAACAACAAGATCGCCTATAGGTGTGATGTATACGATTATATACGCGAAATCACCTATACGCCACATATTCCGCGGTCCTACATATTAGGCGATGGCCCGACCTATAGGTGACCTCCAATTTTACTGACGTTATTATCATGCAAATTGACTTTAGTAAGGCGTTCGACTCCGTTGACCATGAGACACTTTGGGATTTCCTAATGTCGTATGGGCTACACGGGCGCATCCTCGACTCTTTAAAGGCTAGCTATGCTGACGTGAAGTTTCGGGTCAAGTTGGGGAATAGGTTGGGACCTGAATTCACGGTAGGGCATGGTGTTAAGCAAGGGTGCCCCCTTAGCGTAACCCTTTTTGGACTCTTCATAGAAGTATTCGCTCATTATATTGATGCTCACGATGCTAATTGCCGTGTACGCCTCCCTAGCCGATGGAGCACCCTTCGTGAGCAGAGTGTTAGCCTGGAGGGCGGTGAACTCACTAACCTACTTTTCGTTGACGATGTGTCACTGGTAGCAACAGGGCACGATAGAGCAGAATGCCTTCTAGCACTACTCGAAGCGAATGCCGCCAAGTGTGAGGTCCTCATTGTTGGGGGTGCTACGCGTGAGTGGAAGCGGCTTATGGAAGCTGAGTACCAGTTAGGTGGGGTGGGGTTGCGGGTGCTGACCGGCAACGAGACGGCACGGTATCTCGGGTTGCACTATGGCCCAGGAGTGCAGTTCTCAGCATGTACCAAGCAACTACTCACAGCAGGGAGGCGGGCCACGTTTGGGCTCAGCACCCTGTGTCGAGATAAGAAAATTACCACCCCCAAGCTATGTATGTCTCTCTACAATACACTAGTTGTACCGGTGTTTTCTTATGGAGCGCAAGTTAGGGGACCTGACTTCATTAATGTGATTTTTGAAGGTGCTATGACTAATCCCATGGTCCAGGAACAGCGTGCATACATGCGATCTGTAGTTGGGGTGAGGAGCCCGACTATGGTTTCCCTATACCGCGAGCTGTCACAGAGGCCACTCCAGTTCCATTGGACCAATCTTGTACTTAGGTTTTGGAACTCTGTGGTTAAGAGGCCGGGAACGCTGTGTCACCAGGCATTTGTCGCTGACCTGGAGTTGGCACTTGGGGGCGTCACTGAGTGTTGGGCAAGCAAGGTACTAGCCTTTCTTACTAGCTTAGGAGCGGAACCCCCCACAATACGCGCGGTAATGATCTTATAGCGTACTACGCCACCCTTGAATTGCCAGTTGAGAGCATTCTTAAGGTATTTGCCAAACGGCTTGATGACGGTGGGAGTGCCTGAATACCTTGGGTGACCCCCGCGTTTTCCCCATAGGGATTACCGGAACCAAAGCTTGTCGCTATATGAGGAGCTGCCCCGCCTAGGGGTGCGCGTCTCGATTGGTTGGAGCACACTAAAGGGACCATGCCCCAGCGACTTCATCATGTGCTCATGCATTTTCGGTTAGGCTGTTGGGAGTTAGTTAATAGGCCTGATGGGCGTGAGTGCACCGCGCGTACCTGCAGGCTTTGTGACTGTGGAGCGGTTGAAGATGAGTTGCATGTTTTCGAGGAATGTCCCGCTTACAAGAGCATACGGGCTAAGTATGATGGTGATCTAGTCTTTAAGGGGCGCAGTATGCGCATCATTATGACTGAGGCGCCACCCCTGGCATTAGCCAGGTACCTCTCGGAAATTTGGGAGGCCAGGCACGTCACGCTGAGGGGCTTCACCCTGAAGTGGACGAGGGAGAATGAAGATGACCTCCTGCATACCCGCATCAATACCAATACAACATCCATGGCCCCCCCGGCTTTTACGGACACACCCGCACTTGTGTGCGGAACTTGTAACTTGTAACTTGTAAGGTATCGCACCTTTTACAACTAACGGTGTTACAGTAGGGTTGAGAGTTGCCCTACGCATTTCATTGTTTCACCAATGCTTTCATCTGCCTGCAGCACCTATCCGTGCTGACTCTTTCTCCCGAAACCGTCACCTGACATCATGGGTACTGATCCCATCAATCCAACACGCCACCCGGAGGCGCACATCGCCACCCTTGCATTTAAATGTGGCACATGCCTTTCCACTACACCAGTGGCCGGACTCGGACCGGACTGAAGAACCGGGGGATGATCCAAGGTGCACTCCCTATCTAGACCATTTCGTTTTGCTTCATTCCGGATAGTTATGAACTTTCAGACTCATGGTCACGTATTCACTTCCTTTGAGAATGGAAAATATACTATTGTAGTTGTGGCCCATGGGCAGTCGGTCATTCGCTGTTTACTATGCGCGATGTGTTTGTGCATTCGTGTAAGAAAGCCATACCTGCAAGAAGGTGACCATGTCTTTGAGCCGCTGGGCCGTTGTCTCCGCTGGGACGAGTACCGGGAAGCCATCGGGGTAGCCCTGCACCATGCGGCATGAGGCAGACATTGTTAAGGGCCGTGGGGCTGTATCCAAACACCGAAAACGTGCCAGCATTGCGTACATGTATCCACTACGGGAAGCTGAATAATGGGGGGCGTCAACGAACGGTCTCAGGCTTTAGAAGCTTCCAAAGGGGGGATTGCCGTGGGGGTTGGTTGCTGTGGGCAGGGTTGGGTTGCGGTGGTGGTGGTGCTCCCGTGATGATTAGGCTGCAACATGATCTATTTAATACTAGGATTTTCAAGACTGTGCGGGAGCAAGCTGCACACTGTGCAAGCTCCGCAACTACAAAGTAGTACACATTAAACGGAAATTAAAGCAGCCTGATGTCCACTTGGTGTAGCACAAGCACGGGATCCCAGTTGCGTGCAAAATCCCAGCCAGAGGCTATCGCACGATTCAGTATGCGGCACATCAGAGGTGAGCTTACACAGTTTCGCCATTGTTAGCCGACACGTGTCACAACCAGCAACAGCGACACTGGCCAGGCTTTTGCTCGTGACTGCATGCTGTGATAAGGCAGCCTAAATAACGGTTGAAAAGCATGCACGGTTAGAGCGTCCAGTATGTGAACATATACAGGACGAGTCAGGCCTCAGCCTGGTCGCCACACTCGTCAGCAGCATTAACGAAGCTATAAAGTGGGACCCTGCTCGCTTAGCAAGCGAGGATGTCCATACGTATTTGGGCTTAGTAAGACTTGTTATTCGCTGTGTTACTATAAACGCGGAGGGGGGTTAAGAAACTTAGGAGAATGCATAAGAACGATAAGAACGTCTGAAGAACGCGGAGGCGGCGGGTGTGCATTCTTAAACATTCTTACACTGGGATTAAGCGGTTTTATGTAAGTATGTCATATAAGTATGCATTAAGAATGCATCAGCCATGAAAACATCCTGTAATGAATGCCTGATGGAGCTTTATAAAATTTTATAGTTCCCGGATAGGTAATATATCACAGTGATTGCGAAACAGTGAACATACCATGAAATTTCATGGAAACCATCAACATGTGCCTGGGTCTAGACCTTAGATTTAATAATGCGAGATCTGACAGGTCTAGACCTGTTAGATGGATTAGAGAGTTCATAGATATCTATGGCTACATCGATGGCTACACCGATATACCAATAATTAAATCCCCTATCAATCACCACGAATATCTAGTGGGCCGCACTGCATATACATCAGTGTACACTGATGGAGGGTGTCAGATTGGCGGCCCATCCTTGCATTCTGGGGTAGTCTTGGCAGGATGCATGAACATGCATCCTGTCAGTTGGATACATCCTACACCCCCTTTTCATATCCTCAAGCCAATGCTTGCAAACATCCCACACCCTGCTGACTGCATCCCCTCATCCTCTGCCATCCTCATCCTTGGTGGGCTGGTATTGACTCATCCTGGGTCCACATTTCTATCCTTCTCCTTCCTATCCGTATCCTGTGCTCGACCCTCCACTGCATCCTGACTGAGCATTCTGCCACCAAGGGGACGCTTGGTGGTTAATAATTAACCAGGTGCAGCTGTCAATAAAGGTTTTGGTAAACTCGGTCTAGATCTCCGGCACTCAAGGGACATCCAAGGGACATCCAAGGACATCCAAGGGACACCCAAGGGACACCCAAGGGACACCCAAGGGACACCCAAGGGACACCCAAGGGACACCCAAGGGACATCCAAGGGACATCCAAGGGACACCCAAGGGACACCCAAGGGACATCCAAGGGACATCCAAGGGATATCCAAGGGACATCCAAGGACACCCAAGGGACACCCAAGGGACACCCAAGGGACACCCAAGGGACACCCAAGGGACACCCAAGGGACATCCAAGGGACATCCAAGGACACCCAAGGGACACCCAAGGGACATGGGTGGGATACCATAAGGGATGAGCTTCCTCCCCTTTGGGGAGAACCTTCGGTGTCAAAGGGGTGGCACCAGAAGGTACCCTCCTGTACCACCTTGCCACCGGAGGATACCCTCCTGTACCACCTTGCCACCGGAGGATACCCTCCTGTACCACCTTGCCACCAGAGGATACCCTCCTGTACCACCTTGCCACCAGAGGATACCCTCCTGTACCACCTTGCCACCGGAGGATGCCCTCCTGTACCACCTTGCCACCGGAGGATGCCCTCCTGTACCACCCTGCCACCGGAGGATACCCTCCTGTACCACCCTGCCACCGGAGTATACCCTCCTGTACCGCCTTGCCACCGGAGGATACCCTCCTGTACCACCCTGCCACCGGAGGATACCCTCCTGTACCACCCTGCCACCGGAGGATACCCTCCTGTACCACCCTGCCACCGGAGGATGCCCTCCTGTACCACCTTGCCACCGGAGGATACCCTCCTGTACCACCCTGCCACCGGAGGATACCCTCCTGTACCACCTTGCCACTGGAGGATACCCTCCTGTACCACCTCGCCACCGGAGGATACCCTCCTGTACCACCCTGCCACCGGAGGATACCCTCCTGTACCACCCTGCCACCGGAGGATACCCTCCTGTACCACCGGAGGATACCCTCCTGTACCACCTTGCCACCGGAGGATGCCCTCCTGTACCACCTTGCCACCGGAGGATACCCTCCTGTACCACCCTGCCGCCGGAGGGTACCCACCTGTACCACCCTGCCACCGGAGGATACACCGACAGTATCCTAGCACAGCAGGAACATAGTAGGGAATCTCCGGCAGGTAGGCCGAGATGTAAGCTACCCGGACGGGGTGCTATGGCCAGGCACTTAAGTATCATGAGTACTTGGTGTTCAGAGTTCAGGACTCTGCTGCCGCCGTCTCAGATTGTTTCGTACGGGTCTATGTATGCTAGTGCTTGTCGCTGGGTTGGACTTCTTCCTGCGTCAGCGAGGACTCTAAATTTCACGCTTCTGCAAAGCCAGTCGTCCACCCAGGTGAGCGACTGCTACAGTTTCAGTAGCCCTAAACTCTTCTAGTGGGGGCTTGTAGAAAACACATGAGCCTGCCAGGCTCTCCATGGCAATCAAGGATGCTTCCATTTTGATTCAGCAGTGGCAGTGGCCTCGGGGCGTTTTTCATGCAGCTGCCCAATGGCATACTCCAGGCCGGTTCCGGCCCGGTTCCGACCTAACGGGTCCAGTTAACGAGATGGGTAACCGGTCGGTAGGATTACCGGGCGAACCGTTATCCGTTAACCGTCCCCAGTAATCGGTAACCGATGTCGGTAACCTGGCATGAGCAAAAATGCATTTCTGATTGCAACCAGTTTCTTTGTGACAATGCCCATTGTCACAAGGTTCATGCCCACGTGTCACACCCCGACAAGCTTGAGGAGGTTAAGGCAATGTGAATGCCGGGTGACAGGGGTGACAGTCTTGTGCAGGCACATTTGGAGACTAGTTTACACTGAGATTGGGGTGATGTTGGATTAGAATACTTGCAGTTCATGAAATTGCGGAAATGTGTTGCATAGGCATATCCAAACGTTTCAGAGGGACGTTGTTTCGCCCGTAACAAACTTGTTACGGGCGAAACAAACTGGATTTCCACAGTCCCACCACTCAAAGAGCTCCCCACACCATCGCAAAGTCCCTTTTTTATTACAGACACATGTAACAAGTTGTCATAGCTTGAGATTGTCGATATATGACTGCTGGATTGTGACCAGGCCATCTCCTTACATGTCTTGCTGCACCAGCATGAGCAGTGATCCCTTCTGTTCAAAATTTTCAGGCAACATCGCAATGAGGCAAAACATTGTGCCGAATCTGCCGTCA